CTGATTAGAGAGTCTTTTTTATCCTACTAGTGCCGACCCTAACAACTTTCAGAAACTTACTGGAACCTATATTCCTTTATCATAATCAAGAATGATATAGCATCTACTATATATTAATATATCTGAGAGCTTTTGCTCTCATACTAGAGCAATACTTGGGTAGGATATAGAATTCTTGGATCACAATACTTTTTTTTTGCTGAACAGTCTAAAACTGCTGTCCAACCATCTTCTGTTTTTTTAGCGTTATGAAAATTCTGATATAAAAATTATTTTAAACTTTTCTATGGAACCTATTTTTTCTTTGAAATTCAGCTGTTACAGTAATATATCCTAGTGCAGTTTCTCCCCCATTGATTTTGTCTGTCATTTGCCTCAGTGTAGCTACTTACTGAGATGTGCATCCGAAGCCTCTTCTCTTAAATCTTACACCCGGACCCACTCCTTTAGCCATAGCTGGACTACCAGGAATAGAGACCCAATGCAATCAAGGCCAGAGTCTCTGTACTGTAAATTTAAATTTCCACTTTAGAAGTATCTAGTCTGCTTGTGTCTATGTAGCTGAAAAAGGCCTCACCTATTCGCCAACTTCTGAGGTTGCTCTGTGGGCTACCTTAAATGCTTTTTTTGAGATGAGGCAGAGAGTAAATACAAAATAGTGAAAATGTAAAAGAAGAAAACAGAAGAGCCACAAGCAGGTGAGCATATGAGAGTGAGGAAGAGCGAGTCAGAGCAGAGGAAAGAGAGAACTGCAGCTGGAGTTTCTGTTAACTGCAACCAAAAGGACCCTAACCAACAAATCAACTCTGAGACTGTTGCTGCCTTGAGAGAAAAAGTCGCATACAACAGAGAGATACTCCCTTTTTCTCTTCTAAAGTAGCAATTATTTTCTTTCGGTTACAGAAGATGTGTGATCATTAATACACCAGGAAACATTACGTTCCTTTACTTGTCATTCAATTTAATATGCATTAAAAATTTGAAAAATACCTTGGTGAGCCCAAGCCAATTTCTTTCCAGACTTGAGACAAGCAGATGTACCGAATGGATTCCCAGTTAAATGGGCTCTCAACCAGGCTTCCAGCTTGTAGAAAGAGAAGGTCTTGGAGATCTTCGAGAAGCCGCTTTCTGCGTGCAATGGCTGCGACAATGCAAGCTCATGAAATGGATATACCTTTGTAGCTCTGCTCACTGTACCTTCAATGAGAAAGCTGAGTGCCACAACAGCTTCTCGAGAGACGAGGCTGCTGTGGGTGGAATGGAAGGTGGTGGTGAGTTGTTCCGGCTCTAAAAGCAGCTCAAGGAGGTCTGACAGGTGGTCACAGACGAAAGCTTGGTGGCTGTAATCATTCCAGTTCTAGAAAAGCCAAAGAAAGCACTCTCAACAGAACAAAGAGATTCTACAAGACCTGAAGCTTTTATATTTTAACTATTTTGTATTTCCACTCTGTCTCATCTCAAAAAACAGCATTTAAGGTAGCTATATAAATCTTCTAAGGTTTCCTGGGGTTTTTTTGGTGACAGGTATATACAGACGCTCCACCTTAGCTAATTCAAAAG